CGGCCCCGCTGGGCGTTGTGCGCGGCCGACCCGGGGCTGCTGGCACCTGCGTCTTTTGTCTCGTTCCACCGGGCTTTCAAGATGGGAGCGGGGCGCCTGCCTTTCCCGCGGGGGAATGGGCATGGAGAGCCGGAGCCGGGCGGAGGGCGGGGAGGCACTGTCATTGTGCGGCCGTGGGCGCCGCTGGGAGTGGTCGAGCCTCATTGTGTGGTCGCGGGGGTGCGCGGGCGGCGGTGCTGTGGGGGACTTCGGGGCCCGGGGCCTGCGCGGGGAGCGTCTAGGGTGCGCAGGCTGCAGGGAGGGGATAGTGTCTTGTTGGAGGGGCCTCCACGCAGCCCGCGGAGCCACAAAAGAGGCGGCAGCGGGAGAAGGTCTGTGCGGCAGCGGAGCAGCCGACTAGGGCGTGTCTGGTTGGGGCCTGGCACCTGAGCCGCGTGTCCAGCATGTGCACCCGCCGCAGGGCGACCGCCGCCCGGCCCTGGATGCGCCCAGATGTGTTCCTTTCACTCGGAGGAGGAAAGTAGGACACATCCAGACTGTGACATGTCACAGGAATGCGGCTACAGTTGTGAGAATCGCATACAGCACTTATGTCCATGTGGCCGGTGACCTGGCCAGCCATGGTGGCCTGTCATGCCCACTCCTCCCTGAAGGGGGTGTGTACGTGTGAGTGTGAGCATGTGTGGCTGTGGCTGTGTGTATGTGCATGTGAGTGCATATCACTGTGTGAGTGTATGAGAATGTAGGGGTATGTGTGAGAGACAGAGATAGAGGTAGTTCAGGCCTGTGTTGCCACCTGAATCTGAACCCCATCACTCAAATTCACCTTGGAATTTCCCAAGCCAGCCTCCATTTACATGTAGACGTGTTATGCTAAGGGGCCTGGTGGTGCGCTGGTTAAATGCCTGTCTACCCGGCAGAAGGTCAGCAGTTTGAAGCCACCTGCCACTCCTGGTGGTCTTTTCCCTATGGAACAGAATCAGTGGGATGGCACCTAACATTGGCATCTGTGACAGAGAGAGAGGGGTGCGGGCTGTCATGCAGCTTCCCTGTGCCAGTCTGGGGAGGAGCAGAGGGCATATCCAGAATGAAATGCTTGAGGCTGTGGTGCTCACAGGTAAGCCCTGCTCAGGGTGTCCTGTCCTCCTCCCCCTGAGTGTCTGCTGTGCATGTCCAGGAGTGGGCCAACTTCCAGGGCCTTCCACACATGTGCCAGGAGCCTCCTGGTGCTCCTGTGATCTGGCCCTTGTGACTGGGGCTCCTAGTACAGAGTGAGGGAAACTGTGGGTGCCCACTGAGCAGAGGTGGGGGTGCACACAGAAGTGAGTTGAGGAAGGTGCTGGGGGACAGGGCAGGCCAGCTGCTCTCCGGTAGCCGCACCTCAGGGGACTCGTGGGTGAGCACAGAACTGTGCTCCGTGACGGGTTTTCTCTATTTTGAACATTTCATTGTAGTTTTGAGGAAGGCTTACAGAGCACATTAGCATCTTGGTCAGTCTACACGTCTCATTGGGTGACACTGGCTGTAGCCCCCTCACTGTGGCAGCATCTCCTTCCTTCCTCCTTGGGTCTCCCTGTCCTGTGCTGCCCCTTCCCACCGCCTGAGCCCCTGCGGGTACATGCTGCCCTTTGGTCTGGCTGTGTTTATTGAGGGGCATGTTCCACCCCGATATGCTCTTTCACTTAGTAATCCACAAAGCTTTCAGTGGTGACTTACTTCCTATCTGTTAGTCTGGAAGCTCTCCTGAAATCTGTTCTTTATCCTAGCAACATGCCAGCCTCTGCTGACACATGGGGGTGGCTGAGCATGACGTGCTCTGCCTGGGAATCGAACCGGGGTCTCCTTCATGGAAGGTGAGAACTCTATGTCTGCGCCCCCACAGCCACTTCAATCCACTGCCAGCTCATAGCTGGGCCTCCAGCAGGTTTCCAGACCCAGTAAATTGTGTAGGAGGAGATTGTAAAAGGAAGCCAAGCTGGTGGCACAGTGACCACTCTGCCCCGTAACCCCTCAGCGCCAGTGCCACGTGCTCCAGTGTTGGACTCCGGTGTCTGACTGGAGGCTGACATTGGTTTCTGAGCCTTCTGGGGGTGGACCTGAACTTCTCACCTTTCAGCCAGCAGAGGAGTGTGTCAGACATTTGAAGTGTCTGAGGCTCCTTGGACAGTTAGGGACAGGTGGGCACTGATGGGTGTGCCCTTGCTACCAGCACTTCTTTGTTGGCCGAAGTCATAGGAGGGTTTGTGTCTGCCCTGAATGGAGGCCCACCTGCGGAAATAGTGCCAACCATAGAGCCAGCCTACCGTTTTGTCCTTGAAATGAATGGAGGACTTGGGCTCCTGAGTCCATTCCTGCTGGAGCAGAGTTACGGGGCAGAGTGGTCACTGTGCCACCAGCTTGGCCTCCTCTTACACTCTCCTCCTACACAATGGAACAATGACTGAGCTTTTAGCCTTTGCAGATTGAAGATTTCCCAGAGTCTTGGAGTTGGAAAAGTACACCCTAGGGGCCACAGGGAGCCCTGGTGGTTAAGTGCTTAGTTACTCAGGGAGTTGGAGGTTCAAATCTCCCTGGGAACCTTGTGTGAGAACTCACCACGGTTGAGAGGGGACAGAACCATTGCTGGCCCTCCAGTGGGTTTTCAGAGCCAGAAATCACAAAGGAGATTGTCTTCCTCAAACCCCCTGGTGACTTTGAGCCTCGTGAGAGGTGGACTAGGCCACCAGAGCCACCAGCGGAGAGACTTGACTTCTCCAAAACCTCGCCACCTGGCATCAGTTCCAGCTCCTAGGACTAGGCCTCTGGGGGCCACTGGTAGGTCCATATGGCTACCTCCTGGTGCCTGTGGGTATCATCACCAGGGCTACTCCACGTGAAGGCCACAGCCTGGGCAAACCTGGAGTAGTTCTACGGAGGCACACAGGGCTGCTCAGCAACATGGGACATAGAAGCTTCTAGAAAGGACCCTGGCTTCATTTCTACTTACAAAAGGCATGGCCACCAGTTGCTCTTGTCTTTCTGGTAATCAGCCAGCTGCTGAGAGATTAGCTCTGCATCCGAGCCTCCTAGTTTAGTGTCCGAGTCACTGTGAGTGCCCTGCTCCCCACAGATGTGCAGCTTAGACTTGGGGAGAGTCAGGAGTTGGGTTCAGGCTGCTACACGAATTTGGGCTTCTGGGGACAGATTTGTTGCTCATGGCTGTGGGATGGCCCCCAGGAGTGGTAGCTATGCTTTCACAGAACAATCTAGAAAATGGATCAACCTCAGTATTCAGTTTGAGGTCCCTGTAATGACATAAGGACCACAGGCTGTTGTTGTGTGCCCTGGAGTCAGAACCAGCCCATGGCTCTCCCTCCAGCCGGTTTTCAGAGGCTGCATATTGAGGAGATTGTCTAGAATCTTCCCTAGAGCAGCTGGAGGATTTGAACCACATACCTTTGGATTGGCCTTGCAGCTCCTTACCACTACCCCACTAGAACTCCCTTGAATAACATGTAGCAACATAGGAATCATAAATTCTTCTTTCTGAATCTTCCTGGTTTGAGAGGGACCCCAAGTCTCTGCAGGTACAGGCCACCCACTTCAGCCATTCCCATCCTGCTGTGAGCCCTTCCCACAGCTCCACACAGGCCTGAGCCTCATTCTCAGATCGTGTGTGGACCAGGTGGGGATTTCCGTCCACCAGGTGTCCTTTGGGTCACCACACTGCCCTCGTCATGTGTGGGACAGGAGGGACAGTCTATCCACCAGGGATACTGAGGGCCACCATGCTGCTCTTGTAATGTGTGGGACAAGTGGGACATTCCGTCCACCAGGTGTCTTTAGGGTCACCAAGCTGTCCTCATCACATGTGGGACAGATGGAACATTCCGTCCACCAGGTGTCCTGAGGGTCACCATGCTGTCCTCATCACGTGTGGGACAGGTGGGACATTCCGTCCACCAGGTGTCCTGAGGGTCACCACGATGCCCCTGTCACATGTGGGACAGGAGCAACATTCCATCCATCAGGTGTCCTGAGGGTCACCATGCTGCCCTTGTCACATGTGGGACAGGAGCGACATTCCGTCTACCAGGTGTCCTGAGTGGCACCAAGCTGCCCTCGTCACATGTGGGACAGGAGGGACAGTCTATCCACCAGGGATACTGAGGGCCACCATGCTGCCCTTGTCACATGTGGGACAGGTGGGACATTCTGTCCACCAGGTGTCCGAAGTGCTTGGTGTAAGTTCTTCATCTCATCTCAGAGCCCCGACTTGTTGTATCAGGCTGACTCACAATCTCCAGTGGCAGGGAACCTGGGCCATCACACGTCCTTGCGGCCATCTCCACAGGGACACATCAGCAGAGCTTTCTTATGTGAAGATGTGGATTGGTAGTTTCGAATCAACCTTCTGCTGCTTAACTGTAGCATCACCAGAATTCCTTAAACAGATGGTATAAACCCTACACAGACAGACAGAAGCCCAGCCTGCGGCCTGGCTGTGGTTGCTTCGTGTGAGAGGATGCTGACCGTGGTACTCTAGGCTGTCACCTTTATAGGAGCACATGGCAGGTCTTGCTTCAGGGAGCCAATGGTGGATCTGAACTAGCAACCTGATGGTTAGCAGCCAAGTATGTACTCTCTGCACCCCACTGTGTGTGGGCAGGGAGATGTCCCCAGCAATCCTTTCTGTAATGGAGTAGGACAGAAAAGGTGATTTTATTACTTCTTTTTGTTGTCAGGTGCCATCAGGTCATACAGAACTCATAGCGACTCTGTGAACAACACATCTGAACCCTGTCCTGTGCCGTCCTCACAATCTCTGACACATTTCATATCACACTCACTGTGTCAACTCACCTGGCTAAGGGTCTTCCTCTCCTTCACCATCTCTCCACCTTTCCAAGCATAATGTCCCTCTCCAAGGATTGACCCCTCCTGACAACGTGCCCCAAATATATGTGTCCACGTTTGACCATCCATGCTTCCAAGGAGAATCATGGTTTTACACTCTTCAAGACAGACTTGTTCTCTTGGTAGTCCGTAGGATATTCAGTACTCTTCTCCAGTACCACAAATCAACATTGAATCTTCTTCTATCATCCTTCGTCATTGTCCAACTTTTAGAGGCATGACAAGTAATTGAGAGACCATGGCTTGAAGACCTTTAGTCTTTAAGCTAACATCATTGCTCTTTAACACTTTGGAGAGGTCCTTAACAGCAGATTTTTCCACTGCAATTTGTTTTTTGATTTCTTGATTTCTAGTACCAAGTTTGTTGATTGTGGATCCAAGTTAAGAGTAATTCATTGGCAACTTCAATCTTTTCTCTCTCTCTCGTACTTTTGCCTGCTATCCCTGGTAAATATGAACACTTACTCAGTGCAGACACCTGTTAGGTTATTTAATGACGTCAGGAACCATGGTGTGGTGCCAGCATCCTGTCCTTGTGGCTGAAAGGTGCCTGTGACAGCCCACTGTGGTTAGAATGCTCAGCTGCTGACCCACCAGCTGCTCCCTGATGACCACAGCCCGACCCCCACACCCAGTAGTTCTCCCCTACTGACTACCAGTTGCTCCCTGAAGAAAAGAGGGTCTGCTCCTGAAAGACCACAGCCCCGCCTCCTTCCGCCCCTGGACAGTTCTCTGCTGACTACCAGCTACTCACTAGAGGAAGGTGGGCCAGTCTGTTCCCTAAGGACCACAGTCTGCCCCACGCCCTCACCAAGGCCCTGGACGGTTCTCCCCTGCTGACCAGCAGCAGCTCCTTGGAGGAGGGTGGGGTGGACCACTCCCTAATGACCACAGCCTGACCCCTGGGGCCAGTGCTGCCTGTATGAGTCAGTCTGCTGATAGCAGTGGCTTTGCTTTCAGTTTGTGTCTAAGGGAAATTGAACCTTAAAGAATTGGGTATTTTTTTTTATATTTTAAAATACTTTTCTGTTTTTGCCATGATCTGAGTGAGGGTTTACAGAGCAGTTTTACAGAGGGTTTTCTTCCAACCAGCTGGTGCAGTCCCGGTGCTGTGACAGCACTCCATGCATTTTCTGCCTGTAATTCCTGTTTCTGTCCTTCCTTCCTACCTTGTCCTACCTGCAGAGTTTGACCCACGGTAGACATAGCCCTTTTTGTTTTATGTGGCTGTCTTCTCTTTCTCCTTCCTGATGTTCTGGTAACCAAGCTTGTTTGAGGCACGAGGTACAAGACGGTGAGCTGTGGTGAGCTGGTTTTTAAGCACCATTTCCATTTAATCTCTGAGGCGCCCTGACAGCCCAGTGGCCGAGTCTTCAGCTGCTCCTTGATCTGCAGCAAAGGCTGTGGGGGGTCCTGCTCTGTCCCTCAGGGTTTCTGACTGGTGGTCACTGTGTCAGTGGGCTTATGGAACATGTGTACGCACAGAAGACCATTCCAGACATCGGTGAAGCAGAGCAAACGCAGAGGTCGCTTAGACCTGGAGCTGGGTTGGGGAGGAGGACACTGAGGGGTGGAGGTGGCAGCTGGCCAGGCTTTTGTTCTGTGGGGCCCCTGGGTGGCCCTGATCCACCAGCCTGTGAAGGAGCTGGTGTTAATGGTTCACATGGCCCTTCCATGTAGACCCTGAGGGGCAGCCCATCAGATGTCTCCCTGGGGTGCTTGCAGGTGCAGACAGCGGGTGCTCAGGGTCTGGCCTGGGCCCATCCTTTCCCCAACAGCTGTCTTCTTCTGTGTGGTCTGACAGTCAGGACTCCTGAGCTACCTCAGCTGTGACGGGAGCCAAGGTGAGTGGGGCGATGCAGTAGATGGCAGCTCCCAGCTCCCTGCCTCAAAGATTAGTTGTTCGGACCCAGCAGCTGTCTGTGAGATAGATGCCAGGATGTCTTGTCCCGTGGAGACTGTCCATCGCTGTGAGTCAATTCAGTGGGCATCCAGCTGTGTGTCTTCCCAGGGACAGACTCTCTGCTGACCAGCTGATACTTTGGCACCACCAGCCTTCTGGTTGATAGCCAGGTGGTAACCCACTGTATCACCAGGCCTTTATCCTATAAAGATTATAGCCAAGGAGACCCGGGTAGCCTTTCTTCATAGATGGTACACAGCTAAAGGAGAGTCCAGCCTGCATCCAGTTACCACAGATTTGAAGCAAAGGAGATTCCACAGTCTGTGCAGTTTTCCAGGAGGGAAAGAGGTGTGGTGCCCAGAACCCAAGCAGTATGCTGGAGGTTGGTGGTGCAAAGCACCTTGAACCTCTCCTACCAGCGGGAGAAGTGTGAAGATGTGGTTCAGGCAGAAGCCGACTTTGGAAACCCTTCTGCCCTGTGGTACCATGTCCAGCAAACTCCAGTGAGGGTGTGTGTGTGTGTGTGTGTGTGTGAGAGAGAGAGAGAGAGAAAGAGTGTGAGAGAGGGAGGGAGAGAGAGACACACACATAGAAAAATACAGAGAAGACAGGAGAGGAGAGAGAGAGAGGGGGAAGAGGGACGGGGGTGGGGAGACGGGAGGGGGAGAGAGGAGAGAGGACAGAGGAGAGAAGGAGAGAAGAAAAGAGATAGAGATTGAGAGAGAGATTGAGATTGCATCGGGTGGTCTTGGAGCTGTCAACCACAAAGATGACAAGGACAGGACTTCCCAGGGATGCAGCTTGGAAGACAGGAAAGGAGATGAGCACGGTAGGGAAGAGGTGGGTCAGGGTGCAGTGAAGACTGTGGGTGAACAGGAGCCTCTGTGCCCCCCAAACTCCTGTGGATCACAGCAACAAAGGCATGTGTCCCTGACGACCTGTCTTGATGACTGGGGTCACGATGTGTCCCTGTCCTGATGGCCAGAGTCACCATGTGTCTCTGTCCTGATGACTGGGGTCACCGTGAGGCTCTGTCCTGGTGCCTGGGGTCATGAAGTGTCCCTGTCCTGATGACCGAGGTCGCCGTGTATCTCTGTTCTGCTGACCAGGGTCACTGTGTGGCTCTGTCCTGATGACCGGGGTCACCATAAGACTCTGTCCTGATGACCAGGGTCACCATATGTCCCTGTCCTGATGATGGGATCACCGTGGGACTCTGTTCTGATGACTGAGGTCACCGTGGTCAGATGTGTGGATAATGACTGTACTCCCAGGTATCTAGCCAAGCTGAGGCTGCTCTGGGACCGCCCTGCCTTCTGTCCTCTGCCCAGACTGCTCCTGTGGTGGGCCTCCCTGCTCTGGAGTGACCAGCATATCTCCTGTCTGGCCCACAGGTCTCATCCGATTGCAGTCATGTCTTTTGGCAGAGACATGGAGCTAGAGCACTTTGACGAGCGTGACAAAGCGCAGCGCTACAGCCGTGGGGCGCGGGTCAACGGGCTGCCCAGCCCAACGCACAGTGCCCATTGCAGCTTCTACCGCACGCGCACGCTGCAGACGCTCAGCCAGGAGAAGAAGGCCAAGAAGGTGCGCTTCTACCGCAATGGGGACCGCTACTTCAAGGGCATCGTCTACGCCATCTCTCCTGACCGCTTCCGCTCCTTTGAGGCCCTGCTGGCTGACCTCACCCGCACGCTGTCAGACAACGTGAACCTGCCACAGGGTGTGAGAACCATCTACACCATCGATGGACTCCGCAAGGTCACCAGCTTGGACCAGCTGGTGGAAGGTGAGTATCCCGCCAAGTGGCCAGCTCCCAGAGGCCGTGCTCTGCTCCATGGGGGCTGAGGCCGTCTCCCACAGCCATGTCATTGTGCTTGGGTACTGTCCACCACATGCTGACTCACCGAGACCCAAGAGACAAGGACTCAGAAAGTGCACTCAACACATGGACGTGTATATGTGTCCATGCATGTATATGAATATTTATCAGGAGATGAATTGCATTGGGAAAGTCAGCTGTGAGGGACCTCTCAAGAGTACGGAAGTGCAGCGATGTCAGGCTGGAGACTAAGGTGCGCCTGATCCAGGCTATAGTCTTTCAGTTACCTGCTATGCATCAGAGAGTTGGACAGTGAATAGGGATGATAAAAAGAGAACTGATGCCTTTGAGCTGTGGTGCTGGAGAAGAGTGTTGAATATACCATGGACTGCTAGGAGAACAAATAGGTTTGTCTGGACAAGGTGAAGCCAGAATGTTCCCTGGAGTCAAGGATTCTGAAGCTTCGTCTGACATACTTTGGGCATGTTGCAAGGAGGGACTGGTCCTTGGAGAGGGACATCATGTTTGGCAGAGTGGAGGGACAGCACAGGAGAGGAAGGCCTTTGATGAGATGGATCGATTCTGTGGGTGGAGTGGTGGGAATGAGTGTGTTTGAGATGGCGAGGTTGGCACAGGATAGAACCGTGTTTAGGGCTGTTGTACATAGGGTCGCTATGAGTCATAAGCGACTTGATGGCACATAACAACAACAATAAGAGCATCACCACCTCAAAGTGACTCCATAGGGCAGAGTGGGTCCACCTTGGGGAGGTCTAGGTGGCCATCTAGTCTCCTTTTCTATGTCTGCGTGACATACATAACACACACACGCGCGAGCACACACACACACACACGTGTGTTGTTGTTAGGTGCCATCAAATCAGCTGACTCTCCAGCAGATTTCAGAGGCTGTAAACCACACGGGAGGAGACTGCCCATCCTTTTCCCAAGGAACAGCTGTGGGTTTACACTGTGAGCCTTTGAGCTGGCACTGTGCTCCTACCACTATGCTACACGCATAAATAACTAACTTACAGTCACCCCATGGAACAGGGAACCAGGGCTTCCGAAGTGGTCATTTGGTGTCTCCCTGCGAATAGATTTATATGTAGAATGAGGAGCCCCGATGTCAGAAGGACAGTCTTCTCTGGTGTGAATTCACAGCCTGGGAAGCCTCGTAGTGGTGCCCTGAGTCAGATGACTGTGTGGTAATAGATATATTCTGTGTATTACATGTGATGCGTGTTACATGTGATGATTATACTAAACAGGTGCTGATGGCTTAATGGCTAAAGAGTAGTGCTGCCATTCCAGAGGTGCATGGTTTGAATCCACCAGCTGCTCCACAGGAGAAAGATGGGCAGTCTCCTCCTGTGTGATATACAGCCTCTGAAAACTCACTGTAGGGTCAGCTATGGGTCAGCTCTGCCTGGACAGTACCAGACAGTGATGTGTGATATGTGATGTGTGTGTTCTAGATGAGGGCTATCCTATGTGGGGCTCTTGGGGCGGAGTGGGGAAGAACCCAGAAACTGTCAGTTCAAATTCATCAGCAGCTCTTCAGGAAAAAGATGGGCAGTGTCCGGTGAAGTTACAGCCTCAGAAGCCCACTGGGGGGGCCGGCAGTGTCACCAGGGCACTTGGTGTATTGTGGACACAGAGCAACAGGCCATGACAGCAGAGCTGCCCAGAGTTTCCTAGAGCGTCACCCTGCTGGTGGTGATGTGCCCCTGATGGTGTGGTGGACTACATGCTGGCTCCCTAACCAAGGGCTTGCTGGTTCAAGTCGACCAGCTGCTCTGCTGGATAAGCATTAGGTGGTCTGTTCTCATGAAGATTTATGGTCTTGGAAGTTTGACGGGGTCACCATGCATTGGAGTGAACTCGGCGACTGTTTCATTGGCTTAATATGTATGTGTGTGTATTTGTGTATGAAATAGGAAAAAATAGATTTAAGTATCTGTATTTTCAGGGGAGGCAGGTCACGGTGTGGGTTGGGGAAACCCTTGTGGGAGGCAGTGACTCAGCTGACCCTGCACAACGCAGATACGACTACATTTCCCAGAACCCCGTGGATCAAGGCTGACACCTTCAGAATTTTGGAGAACAAGGCGCTGGGGAGGCAGGACACAGTGCAGGGGGCTGGGCGGGTAGGGGGATGCACTTACTTGCCATGCATCAGAAAGTAGGATAATGATGAGGAATGACAGAAGAATTGATGCCTTTGAGTTGTGGTGCTGGAGAAGAGTATTGAATATACTATGGACTGCTAGAACAAACAGGTTCGTCCTGGAGAGGTGAAACCAGGCTGCTCCTTGGAGGCAAGGATTCTGAAGCTTCGTCTGACATACTTTGGGCATGTTGCAAGGAGGGACCAGTCCTTGGAGAGGGACATCATGTTTCAGACAGTGGACTGACAACGCAGGAGAGGAAGACCCTCAATGAGATGGACTGACTCAGTGACTGGGGTAAAGGGGGTAGCTGTGTCAGAGACAGTAAGGTTGGCTCAGAATAGAGCAGGGTTTAGAGCTGTTGTACATAGGGTCACTGTGAGTTGCAGGTGACTCGATGGCACATAACAACAACAACCTATATGTTTTCATCAAATTCATGTGCCTGTTTTAAAGGGCTCTCAGCAAAGCCTGATGGTGTGCCTCCTGCTTGCTGATAACCAGAGGTTGGTGGTGGGAACCTGCACACTGCACTGAGGAGTGGCTAGGGGCTGAGCGCTTAACTGCTGCACCACCATGCCTCATCATGCACCATCATGCACCCATAAAAACCAAAGAGCAAACCCCATGCTATCTAGTCGGTCCACCTCACAGTGGCCCTGTAGAACAGGCTGGAAGTGCCATGATCTCAGGGTGGTGGTCTGTCTTTGAGGGGACCTTTTGTTCACAGTGAGCACTTCAGTGCTGTGAGGCCTGTGTGGTCTCACAGTGGGGCTGCCCTTTTCTCTGAGTGCAGACAGAGTCCTTCTGTCTCCAAGCTGGACGGGCTGGCAGCCTGGCTGCTGGCTGACAGACGCCAGTTTCTCTTGGGCACAGGAGGGCTCTGTGTCCCTCCAGTCCTGTATCCCTCATCCTTTGGCAGGAGTGTCTGGGGCGCAGTGGGTGGACAGCCTGGGTTTGGCGTGCACATTTGTGGGAATTCTCATCTCTCTCAGCAGGGCACTGCCTCCCCTGCTAATCTGTGGGACTGGACATTTTCCTCAATACAGATGCCGTGACTTCCAGGACATTGACATGGACACCACCTTTCTGTTCCCTGTGAGTTGGATGTCGGCCTTCAGTTGTCCTCACAAAGAGCAGAAAGGAGGGATGGTGTATCCCAAGATAGAGAGCTCTGAAGCACTGGCATGGAGCTGGTACTGGAGGGAGACAGGCCAACATTGCAAAGAACTGAAGTGGCCAGAATTGATTCTCACTTGAGTTCACTGTCAGCCCAGAACTGATGGCTATGGAGGTGGCCAGAGTTTACTGAGTGTGAACCATGTGGGGGGTTGACGGGGGTTTGGGGACAGGGAGCCAGAGCTGCCATGTGGAGTGGACCTACCTGTGGCCCTGGAGGACCGAGCCTCTAATGCTTGTGGCCTTACCTCTGTCGAGTTGAGTGCTGGTGGCTCTGGTAGCTGGCCTTGAGCTTCACAGAGAGGCACTCCCAGCTGTATCTCCACATCTCCAGTTGTGGTTGGTGTAGGCTGATGCTGCCCACTCCCAGTCTCCGGGACACAGATGACTCCATCTCATCCAAGGTCTTCCTCTTTTTTACTGAGCCTCCATTTTTCCAGGACTTTGTCCCTCCTATTAATACGCCCACATATTTGAGACAATGTCTTCGCCCTGCACAGAGTGCCAGGCTGTGCCTATTCCCAGGCAGAACAGGTCTTGCTCTGACATCCGACTGTCAGACCTCTTTCACATAATCCAGAGCGCCAGCTTCCTCACTCCTTGTCCAGCTTTCACATTCACAGGAGGTGATTAGGAGCAACTAAAATAGTAGCTCACTTGCTGTCTTCGCTCCCCAGGGCTGCTGTGACACAAATACCGTGAGGGGGTGGCTTTAATGAGGGAACAGTTCTTTGCTCACAGTTTAACCAGTTGCCATCCTTGGATTGTGACTCTCAGTGACCCTGCAGGACAGGGTGGAACTGCCCCAGGTCCCAAGGCTGTGGTCTTTGTGGAAGCAGGTGCCGCAGCTCTTCCCTGGGGAGTTGCTACTGGATTTGAACCTCTGACCTTTCAGTTAATGGTTGAACCGTTAAGTACTGTACACCCAGCTGGTTTTCCTCAAAGCAGGGAAGAGGAGCATTCAGGCAGGGTCCCAGCTCTGGGGGGGCACTGTCTCTCTGTCTTCTTGGGCGGAAGGGCTTTTGGTCCTCATGTCTGTCTGTCAGTCCACTGATAGGGATTCGTGCTGTGTATCTATTTTAGGGAGCTCCGTGGTGCTGTGCTTGGGAGCGTGGCGGGCAGGCGCAGGAGGGGAAGGCCCTCTAGGAGGTAGATTGATTTGGTGACTGCGGTAATTGGGATGAGTGTGTCAGAGACAATGCAATTGGCACAGGACAGAACAGAGTTTAGGGCTGTTGTACATAGGGTCACTATGAGTCGCAGGTGACTCGACGGCACATAACAACAACAACAACAACCACGGTGCTGTGATGAAGGTATTTGGATGTGATTCAGAAGGCCAGTTCTGGAACAGCGTTGTGAGCATGGCTGACAGAACGCTGGGTGTGCATACCAGACCCAAGCCTTGGCCCCCGGCACTGTGTGTAGATCCCACTGCAGCTGGCACCGTGGGTCAGTGTGAAGTGACCACTGGTCCAGTCCCGATGCTGTCCCATTAGTATAACGTCATGGCTGGTCCGGACGCTGTCCCCATCAGAGTAAAGTGACTATTGGTCGTATGCTGTCCCCATCAGTGTAAAGTGACCACTGGTCCACATGCTGTCCTCATCAGTGTAA